TACACAGAACTCTAAAATGAAGAGAAAAACCCCAAACCATCAGGAACAAAATCTTAAAAGTATTCATGAAGGAATAACACTGATTAAAAATCTTACTATTTATTGTTGTAGAAAACTTCCTCTTTAATTTTAGATAGACACAGTTTCTGATCTTACCCTTGAACCCCACGAAACAAATTGCTGCCTGCAACTGCTGGGAGAGGATGCTGAAATGCCAGAGGTGGCTATTCTCACAGCACACACAAGCTGTATGTGCACACAAAGCAACTTCTCACATGGACAACTGAACATATTAATATTTCTGTATAGATTACACTACTTTTTAGAAGTTGTCTTGACAACTTGGTCTTTTATATCCAGAGGTTTTAAACAACCACAAAAGATGCCCCCAGCACCTTTGAATGCAGCTATGATCATCTACATTTATCTAAACTTTCAGAATTCTACTTTGGAAATTCAAACTAAAGAAAGGGGATAACTGTTAGTTATAACTAGAAGAGTTCATTAACATTACCAAAGAAGTGGTGAATGCTCCATCGCTGGCAGTGTTCAAGGCCAGGTTGGACAGAGCCTTGGGTGACGTGGTCTAAGGTGAAGCGTCCTTGCCCATGGCAGGGGGTTGGAACTGGATAATCTTAAGGTCCTTTCCAACCCAAACCATTCTACGATTACATTAATACTTTGTTTAGCTTACTCGAATATCAGAATAGGTTATTATTATTTTGAATTACAGAATTTGTTATATTAACTCTTATTAGTCAACCCTATTTATTGTTGTTTTACAATCATAGTTAAGATTCAGAATAAACCAAAGCAGCAGAGTTTAAATTAAAACCTTTCTACATCTTCACCCTGGTCTTTTAACTTTATTTGGTAGTCCCTGGCCATTGTACAGTTCTTACGAGGACACAACTATCACGAACTACTCAGAAGTATATCAACATCCTGTGCAGTGACTATTAATTTCTATGAACTTTAGTAGGAATCAAATATATCCCATGTCCTGTCATATTTTCTAGGAACCTTAATTACACAGAAGGACCTTGCCTGAGAATGAGGAAGGTTTGCAGCTGATTAGGATGCATCAGAGGAAATGCCTACACTCAGTACCTGTACACGGATGCAGAAGCATTTTATGGGAAGTGCCAATCATATTCTTTTGTAAATGTGAAATTCATAATGATGATTCTATTATATTTCACATTTCCAAGGTAGTTCTGCTTTTAACTGTTGTGTTCCCTGCATGTCTTGATGGATGCCAGTCGAGAGAATAAAACTTTTAGAAACTATATGCATGGAAGCCTGCTGCTTCCCTGGGTACAGGTTAGAGTATACCCAGTCAAGACAAACAAGCACAATTATCTCAATAAATGCCCCACAGTGCATGACTTCTACTTCAAATCTGAAAATTCAATTGTGTGTTAGTCCACGCAGTATTGTATTGTTATTTCTAACACAGGCTTTTTAATGTTCAGAGGAAATGCAAAAGCTATAAACCCCCACACCTTTAATGAATGGTTGCAATAGCCAGCTTGTTCATATTGTTTTAGAAGGAAACATCTTTTCTATCTAGCTCAGCAAGAGCTGCACTAGAAAAGCTTGTGTAGTCTGAAGCACTCCTAATTCTATGTAAAACACAGGTGGTGACTTCTCTACTAAGGAAACAGCCTGAGTTTGTACACCTTATGTGTTCACTGGGGTCTAAGCCTTCTTTCCCATGTTGCTATGGCATTTCATACTACAAAAAACCATGCTAATTAACACAGAGAAAAGATACGACCCAGACACCATCAGCTTGGGAAAGGCAGTATGGGAACATACTCTTTGAAGGGGACCTACAAGGATGCTGGAGAGGGACTCTTCATCAGGGACTGTAGCAACCAGGCAAGGGGTGATGGGTTTAAACTGAAACTGGGGAAGTTCAGGTTAGATATAAGGAAGAAGTTCTTTACTGTGAGGGTGCTGAGGCACTGGAACAGGTTGCCCAAAGAAGTGGTGAATGCTCCATCCCTGGCAGTGTTCAAGGCCAGGTTTGACAGAGCTTGGGAATATGGTTTACTGTGAGTTATCCCTGCCCATGGCAAGGGATTAGAACTAAATGGTCTTAAGGTCCGTTCCAACCCTAACCATTCCAAGATTCTATCTGACCCACAAAGGCACATTGCTCCATGATGGGAGGAAGGAAGAATTTATGAAATGGATAAAACTAACCCTTGGGATTTCAGAACTGTAGCTTTGACCCTGATAAGAAAGAAATCCCAAGCAGGTTTTAAGATGCAATGTTAACCACTGAAGTAGCTATCAGTGACCTAAAAGCATTTTGGCTTATGGCTCAAATGCAAGAGAAATAAGCTGATTACCCTGATTTGAAAAAATGGTTTGTGTTCTTGACTGTACAGTCACTTCTCATATAATTTTGCATAAGGATGAAAATTGATAACCAGTAGACTGCTTCCATGCTTATATTCCCAAGTCAGATGGCTTCCTCATGTCACCACTAGTAAAATGGCAACAGCACTTCCCAGTACCTCAAAGTAGTCTTGCATAAGAAAGCTCATGAATGCATGCACTGAGACACAGACAGGAATTCTTAACTGAGAAAACCCATTAGTAGACAATAGGTGCTGGAGGTGGATGCTTTGGACTAGATCTGGGAATTGTGGCGTTAAATGGAAAAGCACACCTCTCAAAATGGATCACTTCCTATGAGGTTCAGAGCTCAAATGCCAATTACACCAAGACCAGCGAGGGCAGGAAGGAATCACTTACCCTGGCACCAGCCCCAAATTCTGTCTGTGGCACAAGAATGACATCAGAAGCTGCACAGTTCCATTCCTTACCTTAACCACCTTTGACTTTAAGCCAATGCATCTGACAGCTGACCAGCAAAGCCTGGAATGGGGCAAATCTAGCGGAAACAAGATTTTATCCCTCCCTACAGCTTTTAAACGCACAATGCCTCAGTTTTTAAGGGGTTCACAATACCGGCCACACAAGGGCACATTCCTCTTCTGTAGATAAAAAACAACATCCCTGCTGAGTAACCCTATGAAAGTTATTTTTACAGCACTGTTTCTTTGTCAGCCCACTATTTCTCTTTAGCAACACAACATATTTGAAACAGCCCTGTGGCACCACAGGATGGCTGGTGTCTTGTCTGCAACAGACATCAGGTGCAAGTGTAAATAAGGATTATACAAATGGGAGGTCGTTAAAAGTCTAGTAATGCTAATTTGGCATGACACCCCTAATGGGTTATATCTTCACACTTCAGTTATCTAATCACCTAAATTCTTTTAACAAATTTACATTTCATCTTATACACAGAGATTCAAATTGACTTGTTCAATTCTCCCTCCACCCAAACCATACCAGTTTGGTACACTCTGCTCATTTATATATTAAACATCATCAATTTTGAGATCATCATCATCAACTACATAGAGGTAATACCAGCTGCACGTCTATATGTTTATGCATACAAATAGTTGTGCATCATCTTCAAAAACCTTTAATTTTTTTTACAAACTTTTCAGATCTCAGGAGAGCCACAAATATTTGTATGTGCCATCAGAAATAGCATTTCAGATAGAACTTCACTTTTTTGGAAGGATATTTCCATTTTCCTAAGAGAAGCGTAAGGGAATAAAGTGACTTAAAAAAAAAAGTAATTTAAATGTCATATTTCAATCCATTTCCATAGGACTTCCAATATCTGAAGGGGGCCTATAGGGATGCTGGACAGGGGCTCTTCATCAGGGACTGTAGTGATAGGACAAGGGATAATGGGTTCAAACTTAAATATGGGAAGTTCAGGTTAGAAATAAGGAAGAAGTTCTTTACTGTGAGGTGCTGAGGCACTAAACAGGTTGCCCAAGGAAGTTGTGAATGCTCCACCCTTGGCAGTGTTCAAGGCCAGGTTGGACAGAGCCTTGGGTGACATGGTCTAATGTGAAACGTCCCTGCCCATGGCAGGGGGTTGGAACTAAATGACCTTAAGGTCATTTCCAATCCTAACTATTCAACGATCCTATGACTTGTTTTACAACTTTGTTTTCCTGTTTAGTACAAAAAGTCAATATGAGGAGCTGTTCACTTTTCCTGGTTTGTTCAGGAAGAGTAACAACAGAAGGGAAAAAAAACCCTTTAAACTGTTTACACCTTCCACATAACAGAGATTTATTTTACATGGAAGGTTTAATGTTCAGTTCAAACATTCCACTTGCACAGACTTCCAGTTTTTTAGCTCAGTCCTCATGAACTAGATGTTAACTAAAGAAATGTGGCAGAAGCCCATCTGAATTATATGAAGCTAAAGTCACTGCTATGATAACAGCGCTCGCATATGGAACAAAGAACCATATTTAGAGAGGTGGCTGCCTAACACATCCAGCTCCTGATGATTACATGCTACTATGAAATGAGTGTATTCTTGTGTGGTTTAACATGATAATTCACTTTTCTAAACAAAATGTGCCAGAGGATGTTTATTTTGGTTTTACTTATTAAAAAATAGCAATACCCCAAAACCACCACCCCCCCTTCTTTCTGAGCTGTGAGTTGGCCACTTTATGGGAGGAAGTGGCTGCACATCTCAACTGCTACTAATGCAGGTGACAGTACAAAACCTTATCCCATCTCACCAGACTGTTACCAGTATTTCTAATATTCAGGCTCATTTACAGCTTTACGTTGCAATCCCTTCACTCCCTGTATGTGTTTAGCACACTTAAAAGCATACGCTGTGCTGCGCCTGGCTCTAAACTACAGTGGAACATGATGGAATGAAATAAGCTTCTCATCTCAGTTCCTCTTGCTCCTAGAAAGTATTTGTTCATCTGGAGCCAGTCGCTGCTCCTGCATCTATGTAATGACTTCCTCATAGCAGGCAGAGATTACCCACACCACTGATCACTTTATTACTTCAGAATGGCTGTTTATTTATTTTAGTGCAGCAGTAACATGCAGGGATAAAGCTTGTCGCAGCTGGGCAAACTCACCATATTCCTTACGCAGGTGGTCTGGAATGTAGGGCTCATAACCTTCCTTCTCAGGGACCTCCACAAATTCATCTTCATCCTCATCGTCATCATCATCCAAGGCTTTCATCTAGAGGCATGTTTAACGTGTGAAGACTGCTTTTCATTTCCTTTCACACTGAAAATATTTCACAGACATCCTGATAGCCCTACTGAGATGGCTCCATGTCAAAAGCATTTCCCTAATTAGGTATTTAATCTTTACTTAAGATCAGGCCTTTGCTTAACATTTTATCTCTAAAGCCATACTATCCTAAGGGCTTCTTTAAAGCCCCTTTTATCCATTAGAACGCATGCAGTTGGTGAAGTCTGAGAAAGTGTAAAGTTATAAAACAAGACCAAAAGTCTTAAAATAACATCAAGATTTTGACTTAATGAGAAAATTTTAGCCTTACCTCTTCTCCTTTCACTGATTTTACTCATTTAGCTGCACCCAAATAGCCTGTGTCATTTCAGCTAGCTACTACTGCGTATGTGCCAGCAAGCCTCTAAACTTGTTTCTAAGCTTGTTCTACACCTGAAAAAGAATTTTTCCTCTAAATTACACATAAAAGAATCTGTGCCACACACATGGCCTGTACTATCAGAACTTTAAAATAGCAAATGCCAACCACCCTGAAAGGGCAGCAGTGATGAAGGTCTTATGCTTTATTTTCTTTGACCACCTTGGAAGTCACCTAATTCTTAACAACAAGAGAATTAGCACATTATTGTATGTCTGCTGTGCAATTTCACAAGTCAAGGAAATAATAAGGGGTACCCACTAAAACCAACCTTACCACAGGCTATCACTTTTTTCAGCTGGGCTGCAGCAAGTCCAAGCAATAGATAAGGAATGGCATCATTTTTACTATTTACAGCAGTGTTCTCTACTTCTCTTCCTGCACCTGACTCAGGTTGATATTCATATCAACTACTCATTGTTACAAGCACTGGAGGATGCTGCAGGTTTTGCCTGCAGCAGAATTTTCCCAATTTAATTCACTCCTCTAATCTCATGTCACAGCTGAGTTCCTTTAAATCATACATATACTCTGAAGCCAAAGAACCTAGAAACCAATCTTGGGTTACTGAATGTAGTTAAAAATTTTAAATTAATAATAATAATAAAAATAATCAGCATTTGGTCAGTATTATCTGTACAAATTTCTAATAAAGCATATTAATTGATGTTAATACACATACTGATACACTTCAACATATAATGAATGGAAGGTGCAAGCTAGAAGTACAATTCTTCCCTTTGTTTAAAGGGATGACTTTAAGAAAGCTGCAGTTCCAGTGAAAAAAAGGAAGAGAAAAGAAGATTTACTGTCCTGAAGGATAGAGTAGATTTACTACTACATTCTTACCAGAGAACACCTAATAGTCTTCATTTTAAAATAAAGTCTCAGCATAATCATGTGTGAAGGTACCCAGCTGCCAAAGCCATGTAACAGCACAATATAGTCTTTTCAGCTCAATTGTCACTACCTCAAGAGCTGCCAACCTTCCAGACTATGCTGGAGGATCCTGCACCCTAGTTTACTTTTTGTTTCCTACTGCAATCACTCTTCCTCATCTGAAAGAAAGCAGCAATCCAAGCCTTACCTGGCATGGCTGACAGATGTCTGCTGCAGCACAAACCAAAATAGAGCTGTAATGCAAAGAAAGGGTCAAATATTCTACCACTAATCACAAACTTGCAAAGCCACTAGACATGAACTTCCTAGGTTGCCTGAGGAAGTTGTGAATGCTCCAACCCCCCTGGAGGCATTTAAGGCCAGGTTGGACAGAGCCTTGGGCGACATAGTTTAGTGTGTGGTGTCCCTGCTCATGGCAGGGGGGTTGGAACTAGATGATCTTAAGGTCCTTTCCAACCCTAACTATTCTATGATTCTACGAAAGAACATCTGTGTTAAACTGCAACTTCTCGGAGACCTTCCCAATTGCCTTTAGAAAGCAAAACATCATCAGGTTTTGTAGTCCGCACAACGGAAGAGGGCTAGAAATTGAAGAGAAGTTAATGTATTTGTATTTAGGTTTCATAATTCTTCTGGTGTTATCACCCCCTTTTTATCTATTGGGGCAATTTCATTAAATTCAGAAAAAACATCCACTCCTATTTCTCCAGCTAGAAGCAAGGCAACATCATATTATCCATACTCAGGTTCCATCTCCCATTTACCAATTTAAAAAGATTTCACCAAGCTAAAACTTCTCATGGATAATCTTAGTCTGCAACTTTGTGCCATAATGGAAGAGCTGACTAACTTTCACATTATAAAACAGGGAAAGCAAATTCGGTGTATTTCCACTGTCTTTACTTGCAAGAAGTCCGTAAACAAATGAGCAGCAACAGGTTTAAGGATTTGAAAAGTAATCTCAAACTAGTTAGAAAAAGAAAACTCGATTCAAACTGATGGTTTAACTTAAATTGACAGATTATACCTAAAATATCAGTGGGTACAACAGTCATGTGCAAGGCATAGCTGAGAGCACTAGAAAGAATTCAGAAGGGTTCTGCATTTAATTGCAATTTCTCCAGTTTGTTCACTTGTCACTGGAGGCACATAGCTCTCTGTGCATTGATACACTAAAATTCAACGGGCTTCACTAATCCTCAACTTGAAAACTGCCTTAAAAGCAACTTTCCTGTATTACCTGCATGGCCTAAAACTTGAAAGCACGTGAAAAGCCTGAAGGAGAAAAAGCATAATCAGATGCAAATTCACTTTGTTTAGGTACAATCCATGAACTGTGCATTCAAGTACTATAGAAAACATTAATCATAGGAAACTGTAATTTTTGTTATCAGTCTAACACTAATCAAAAGGGAAACCTGTCACTACCGCTGACCTGTGAAACGTCCCAATTATACTCTTCGGAAATGACAGGAGCACTTAACTTCCCCACTGAGTAAATGACGACAATCCATCAAGTTGGAATAACAATGAGCCACGGAGCTGAAAATTATTTTTTGTATAGAATCTACCCAGGAATTTATGAAAGGTGAAAAGCAACCCAAGGTTTTAGGGGCATTATGGCTTTCAGCTAGTGCAGCACATATCAAACACTAAACAGAATTTATGTGTTTTAATTTTCTAAAAGGTAGATGTGGACTTGGTGCTACAATGCATAACATATAATGCCAGATTTTAAATATGGGGGTCATTTTCATAAAATATTATGCGGATTGTTCACACCCTTGAATTTCCCTGGGCTCTTCCAGTATATTTAGATTTCCTGTAGAAAAAATTAACTGCTTAGCTAACTATCGGGAATTAATCCCCCTTTTCCCTTCAAACAGACATGAAGTCTTTCTTTTGATGTAATCTTTAACAAAACAACATTTATCTTTTTACTTTCAAATATTCAAGTCATCACTAGTAGAAATTCAAGAAGTTGCACAGTAGTTGTGGTAGTTATACCTCAGTTTGCTGCATTCCAGCCGTACTCCATCAGAACCACCCATTTATGCTGTTTTGCTGCATTCCCTTTCTTCAGAGACGAGAGCTCATGGGCAACATTTTTAGTTAGAAAAATGTCTTTTTCTTTCTTTCCCATTCCACTTTTCAAACAAGAAGGAAGCTCCAAAGCAAGGTCTACAGATGCAATGTGAGAGCTCAGCCACCTACTATCTATGTTTCTACTGTAGGCAAACTTTTTCAGTCAATTAAAACAATACAAATCAACAAATCACAATGAAATCAAATATTTAAGACAACATTTTGAGTGATAGAATTAGTAAATGATAATCCTTTAGGAATGAGGGGTTAGGTACTCACAAACAAGAAAAACAAGACTAAGATAAATCCAAGCAACATGCCATTTCTAGTGGGCCATATCTGAAGGGAAGTAAAGTATAAGCTTAAGTGATAAATATCACAACATAAAGCTTTTCTTGCAGTGTAGGGGATTAAATACCTCTAAGATAAGTGTTTGTTTCTCAATCAGCTGTCAAAGAATGTGGAAAAAAACCCAGGTCCCATTCTCAAATCCATTCTAATTATCAGGTGATAGGAGGAAAGTCACTACCATAGTTTGGCAGCCTTAGCAGAGACAGAGGGTGAACCACCTCCTCTCCGTCACTAGAGGATGGCCCATGTGAAGGGACACCAGATTCCCAGCCACCAGAGGCTACTTCTTCCACCATCACTGCTCCTCAAGTTTCAGGGAGAGGAGAAGTTTTCTGCTCAGTGGTAATCTGCTCTGTAACACTGGCATTTATTTATTTATCTAAACACATCATGTGTTTGCAAAACTGTGTGTTGGGTTTTTTGGTTGTTTCGCTTGTTTCAATGTGGTAGTTTCCCTGACTAGATGTCTTACTGTGAGAAGAAACAGGATTTAGCTACACAGCTTCCAGATTCTTGGGCTGAACTTGTTTGTATACGAGAATGTGGCTTAAAACAAAAAAAAAAAAAAAAAAAAACCCCAAAAAAAGGACAGAAAATATACATGAATTATTTTCATTATAATCAGAGTTAGAACATCTCCATTCTCCTGATTTTCATTAAAAACTTAAAAGAGTGTTGACTTTTCCAGCTGGACAAGTGCAATCAAACCATGTGTTCCTTAACTCATGAAAACCCCAGATGTTCCCTTATTACTTTCCATCTTGAAGCAACCTGCTCTAGTCAAAGGTGTCCCTGCCAAGGGCAGGGGGTCGGAACTGGTTGAGCTTTAAGGTCCCTTCCAATCCAAACCATTCTATGATCTTCTTAAAAATACTGAAAACAAACATGGGTGCCAATAGGAATGCAATCATAGCTTTACTTTGGAGTCAACACTCCGAGAGCCTCCAGCTATTAGTGTAGCTCAGTGCAACCACAGCTCTCATCCATCTCAACCAGTAACAAATCACCACATGGAGAGATGTAAAGAAAACCCTTCGGTCCTTTTTACAGGAACTGAGTGTGACATTCTGCTAATAGGATTTCAAAACCCGATTCTCTACAATCATCATTAAAGAAAACAATAAAATAACTGAACTATAGAGTGCAATCAGTTTATAGGACCAGAGGAACAGTATGTACTAATGATTTTAGGAAAAGGAGGAAGGGAACAGATAGCACATGAAGAAGTCCC